GGAATTCATTTGTTTAGTCAATTACCAAAATTTGGATGATTTTGAATATTCACTTGAAAAGTTATCAAAGAAAAACATTTTTCATTTTGTAACTTCGAGGGCCCGTTACTTGGTAACGAAGGATTTTAGGAAAAAAAGTTATATGAAGTACTGGTGATATTTTGACCCCATCTATACATTCCCGAGAGGAATAGAGGAAGTCCAGGGACACCCTGTATTTCACAGGAACGAACAGACAGTTGACTAACTTTTTGAATTTCATCAACTCCCTCCACCCTTCTATCACATTCACAATGGAGATGGAATTGGACGACGATTTACATTTTTTGGACTTGACCATAACAGAAGTTGACAACAAACATGATGTTTCAATTTATCGTAAACCAGCACATACAGATATTATCATTCATAATTCGTCCACTCACCCATATCAGCATAAGGTAGCAGTTTTCAACTGAATATAATGAAGAAAATAGCCGTCAACAATGATTACGATAGCGGTCTGATTACATTCTTCATTATCAAAAAAGTTATATAGTCAAGCTTTGAAAGAAGAGAAGAGGATATAAGTTATAGAACCTTAACCTACTTAGGCCAACCCACTACAAATATTTCAGATTTTCTGCACAGCAAAGGTGTCGATACTGCTTTCAAAGCCAACAACAACTTAGGCATGCACATTAAAAATAACAAAATAAAAGTTCAGTTTCAGAAAAATCAGGAGTGTATAAATTATCGTGTGGGTCATGTCCGATGTTTTATATAGGTCAAACTGGAAGAACGTTCAAAGCCCGCATAAAGGAACACAAATACAGTTTCCAGAATGGTAAAATAAATTCCACATATGCCAGTCATTCAATCTCAGAGGGACATGAGTTCAACCATGAATACAAGCCCCTCCATTTCCAGAAGAGAAGAAAGATTTGAAACTTAACATGTTGGAGAGTATGGAAATAAACAAACTAAAAAATTCTCAATATCTTATAGATGATCAAACTGAATTGAATAATTTGCCATCATTGAATCTGTTCATTTACATTTTAAGGTACATTCATTCATTATAATAGGGGAGCCCAAGCGGGGATTTCGGGATTTACTAAAGCGCAGCAGAATAATATACAGGGGGATACCTTGTACCCGGTCAAGTACCTCCACCAAATATGAGCCCCATATATAAGGCCACCCGTGAAGGATAAAGGATCAGATTATTAAAAAAAAATTGATCATCAGAAATTCTCGAGCGCGTCAGATTGTAGGGTGAGTTAATTACCTGCTAAAAAGTGTATATTCCAGTAATATGAAAATTTTAGAGTGACGTAAATGAAGGGGAGGACAGCAAAGTTGTTAAAAATAACGTCATTTCGACATTCTCGAGCGTAGCAAATTTTTTTTATTTTGAAGGAAATAATTCAAGGATAACGAAAAATATATAATCTGACTATTTCCGCAAGCCGAAATAACAAAAATCCGTCGATGAAGTTTATTGCGTGTAGCTATGTGATACCTATATTTTCCTCTCCGATTTTCTATTCCTCTTTCACTTTTTCTCTATCTATTACTCTCTCACTCCGTCCCCACTCTGAATTCTATTGCCATGACGCCATCACAGCTGATCACAGAGACTCGTTCATGATGAAGATGAAGATGATGATTAATAAATAATCAATTATTTGATGAATGTAGCCGTTACTACGTGATAGGAAATCATAATGAAGAAAAGAGAAATTGAACTTTCTATGTTTTTTACCACTTTCATTTGTAACTAACGTTATTGCAGTTTCGTCCTATAAGGACATTTTCAAACTTATACAATATATAAGTTCGAAAATGTCTTTATAGGACGAAACTGCAGTAATGTTAGTTACAAATAAAAGTGAGGAAAAACATTTCTCTTTCTTTCATTTTATTTCCTGAGCTTTTCAATTAATCAAGTTCAATGAATTCAAAAAAAAATTAAAAAAAAAATGTTTTTGTGAGATTAAGCGAACCCCTCTAGATAATCGTCAGATTATGAGACAGCAGGTCTAAAACATAAAGATGAACCATATATATCCTAATCTGACGCGCTTGAGTATTTCAAAATGGCGAATTTATTTTGCACATTATAATAATGGCCGCGAGTTTGCGTCAGAACGAAATCGTCAGATTATTGAATGACAGCTTTTTTTTTGTTGCACCTAACACTCCCTTAGAAAATCTGACGCGCTCGATTGATTTTTTTTCTTTTCACTTTTAACCCTTACTTACACCCATCCACATCATGCAAACGATCAGATTAACATACCAACATTATCAAAAATACGTAGGACAATCAACATCTGACGCGCTCGAGTATGTCCATGCCACAGTATTTTTTTACGTATTTAAAAATCTATAGCCGCTTCCCCCACCGATGAAAAGGTATATATTATATAACCTTTTTTTCTTATCATCTAAGGTTTGCAACCTAATATGTCTCAATGACGCTCGAGTAATTCCCCATTTTGCATCGTGGGCTCCCCTGCTATTAGGCAGACAAGTAGGTAATAGGTTAGAGTATGAAATGGTTGTAATTCAGAAGTAACTTTCAGTTTATGATTGAGAAAGCTATTGTATAGCGAAACACGTGTCGCGGTTTTTGTAAAACCTTTTATAGTGAAAATCATACAATAAAATGTATTGATTAGTTTTCTAATATGGATTTTCATCAAGTATCGGCCAGTTCTATTCAATTAATGAGATTTGTATTTCATAATGGAAAACTACCAAGTTGAATTATTTGTTTTTTCTTTGTACAAATACAACTAACGTAAACATCAACAAATTATTGACACACGTTCAAAAACTTTTTATTATGGGAATGTGGAATATTTTCAACATATATATGTGATATTGATGGAAACAATCAGTCTCGAAATCTTAAAAATAACTTCAATATCACTCTTTCGAATTATCGTTAGGTTGAAATTTTAATTTAATTTCGAACATGCTGATTATCCTTTTCCAGTGAAAATATACACAACTATTTTCTGAACAAGATTTCATAAATTTTTCAAAGTAACGATTGATTGTGAAAAATTTTAAAAATTTGTATTTTGCCGATGCCGAATAGTCATGGAAAATATTATATTTCTAATAACTTCCTGGTGAAAATTCACCTACCAGTAGATCTTCAAACGGGTCCTGAATATTGTTTACTTCAACCGTCTTACTATTTCCTGTTTCGATATCCCAAACAAAAACATCACTGTTGAATTCAACTATGTTGAAAACATCTCCCTCTCGAATTTCGTCCAATATACTGTTCATAGCGTCTTTCAGCTGATGTATTTTCTCTCCGCTCATGCTACTACTGGTGTCCAAAACGAAAACAACTTGTTTGGGAAGTGGTTCCAAATCTTCAGGAGCAAAGAAATGAACAAAATATCCATCTTGAAGTAATATCTGGAAAAAAAAGTTATGTTAGTGGTACGATGAAATGAAAATTTCTGATTTCACGATAATACTAGTATTTTTCGTTCGTTTTTCAAGCTTTTTTTAAATTATTTTTAACGTTTTAGTTCGATGTTATTTAAAAGCGTGTTTTTTAGTTTTTTTGAACTATATTCATTTTTTAATTTCGTCTGCTAGAAAAGCGTGATTTTTTAGTCGTTTTGAAGTAGATTTATTTTATCTAACTTTGGGATTAATCGGTCGCATATTGTTTAGAGAAAAGACCATTAATATTTTCAGATTCCGGAGAGGGAGCCTGAAAATCAGTCACCAAGCCCAAGGCAGCAGGCACGCAAAGGAGGGTTACAAATCAGGCGCGTGTTAAAAAGAAAAAAATACTTTTTTCAAATGAATAAATACATATAAAATGAGTTCAAATTATATCAAGGAGGTTAAGTACAGCGCTGTACAGCGAAAATGGCATTTATGTGAAGGTATGACATTTGTCAAACCAAAAAACTCCATTAACGTTTAATTTTTTTCGCAAAGTAAAGCAGAATTTTTGATTTTTGATTTTTTGACTGGGAGACCCCGTTATTCCATTCTACAAATGTCATACCTTTACATAAATGTCATTTTTCAATGGGTATGATGATTTCATAATCTTTGACTTTAAGAAAGAGTTATTGATTGATACAATTTTCATTATTATCATGTTTTTGATGTAGTTCCAGTAAGTTACTGTATATATTTCTGAGATTATCAATGTCAGTTTTCTTATTCATACAAACAGAAGACTTATTAATTTCAACCATTTCAAGAAAAAGGCGTTTAGAAATATTTTTTTCTGTATGTAAAACTTTGATACCAGAGTAATTTGGTTCATGCCCAAACTAAGGAAAATTGGATAAAAAATGTATCAGAAATCATTACACCAGAAGATATAAAACATTTTCTCGTCTTAGGATTCAATTTCAGTTTACCACCAACTACCAAAGAGGTAAATATACTAAATTTACTATCAGATATCGAAAACTTGATAACTGGGTTTTGTGATAGTAAAAAGACTCTTTCTGATAAAGGCAACGTAACAGTAATTATGAAAAAATCTGATTATATTGAGAAATCTGTTGAGATTATTATTAATAGTGAGTCTTATATTGAACTTAATAGAGATCCTGTTTCAACAATACAACAAAAGGCAAATAAAATCATTACAGATTTGAAAAAATTTAAAATGATATCAGAAGATGAAGCAAAAATGTACATAATTTATAATTCTATATCACCCAAATATTATGGACTCCCTAAAATACATAAACCTAATTTGAAACTGTGATCCATTATTTCTTCCATTGATGCTCCAAATAGCAAAATTGCCCAAATGGTCACAAAAATTCTCACTGATGCTTGTAATTATGAAAATGAATTCTATATTAAGGATCCTTTCGATTTTTTCAATTTTATAAATGAAAAATCATTACCTCCAGATTATATTCTGATCAGCCTTTTCAGCAATATACCTATGAATCTAGTGGAGAAAAGTGTCATCAAAAGATGGAATGATATAAATGAAAAATGATCAATAAACCAAAAAAATTTATTGAAATAATTAAGTTCATCTTCAACTCAAGTTATTTCTCCTTCGAAGGTAAATACTATAAACAAATTCTTGGTACACCGATGGGAGCTACTATTTCTCCTATTATAGCTCAATACATAATGGACGATCTTTTTGAATACATACTTCATAAACTAAGTTTTGATATTCCCTTCTTAAAGAAATACATTGACGATGTCATTTGTACAATACCTTATGACAAATCTAATGAAATTCTTAATGTTGTCAATAGATATGATAAAAATCTACAGTTCACAATCGAAATAGAAAATAATCAAACCCTTCCTTTTCTTGATACAAGAGTTATCCGTAAAACTGATAATTTCTTGATTACTGACTGGTATGTCAAACCTATTAATTCATAAAAAATCAGTTAAAATTAATTTAATACTCTGTTTGAAAGAAAGAATAGAAAAATTAGTACACCCTTCCTCAGACTCAGAGACATATCATTGGAAAATTCTTATCCCAGAAAACTTCTCAATAAAATAATTTTCAATACCGGCAATAATACAAATTCCGATGTAATCAACAGAAATGTATGTAATGATAGTTTACCTATCCATTTTTCTGATAAATCTATACCTAACCTTGGAAATGTATCTTCAAATATCATAAAACTATTTCATAATGAACAAAATAACAAAATATGCCAAAAAAATATTAAAACTATAAAGAATTTGAATATTAAATTGAAAGATAAAACGGATACTACCAAAAAGTCAAATGTGATTTATAACATTCCTTGTAACAACTGTAACTTGGATTATATTGGAACAACATCTAGAATTCTCAGTGATAGAATAACTTCACATAAAAGTGATATAAAGCTTAATAAGAAATCATGCGCATTAGCACAACATTCTATAGAAACAGGACATAAACCAAATTACTCTGGTATCATATATATATGAAATATGGAAATGATACATATTAATAACGAAGAACATTCATTGAATAAACGACCTGATATTGACAGTCTCAGCAAAATTTACTCATATCAAAACCTTCCAGAGGACAGTTGTTGCAAACATTTCATTTTTTTCTAAATTCTTCTGTCGGCGAAAGTATTTTCAAATGTATGTTCAGATCATTGATTTTAATGAATCATTGAATAATTCTTCGAAAACAACTATGTCATATTGAAAAATACTTTACTTTGAAATATAATTAATTGAACCAATGGAATAAGTGAACAATGTGCCTCACCTCTCCACCTCTGGGATCTCTTTCAACATCATATTGTACAACGAACTGCCCAGAAATGCCTTCATTTTCTTTCACTCCCAGTTCTTTAGCAAATTGTCTCTGCTGCTGGGCGTCAGGATGGAACCTTACAACAGCACTGGTGGAGTTGATTATCTCTATTTCGGACGATGGTTTGAGTTTTTCATCATTTTTACTCACTTCGTTTCCTGACCTCAGAGAAGGGGTTTTGACGAATTTCAGTGGACGGCTTTCATTCACCAACACCTGAGAATTGAATATAATTTTTATCAAATCTGTGATGGAAGTTATATGAATCGTGGGGAGTCAACTCAGGAGAAATAAGCTCTATTGAAAGAGATGTATTTTGCATAATATATTTAATTGGTCCAGAGATGTTTGATCTTTTTTTTTATATTTATATATTTGTAGAAACAAAAAACTAATTGAATGATGTAAATTTTGTTTCTGATATCATTTTGTTTTCATCAATCAGTTTTTGAAATGAAAAAATGGTAGTGAGGAATATCAAATATTTGGGAAATTAATATTAACCTTAGAAGAAAATATGAGTACTAAAGTAAATGTACTTGATAAATGAGAACTAATATGAAGATTTGGTACAATTGAATGAAAAACTACAACTACATCATTCTGGTTGCGTTTTCCTGAATTGTAGAGTGTTCTATAGGCATTTGAATTGAATATGGTAATATCTGGTATCAACCAAGTCCAGAGACGTATCTATTTCTTCAAGCGATATGATGAACTCATCGAAATTTTTTAATAAACTTTGAATGTTATTATGCATTGTCTTAAAATTATAGTTTTCATTATTAACTTTGAGGATTTCTTGCTTTCAAAGCAGATCCTATATCTATATAATAAGTATAGTTTTACTATAATATACAAATAATGTACTAACGATATCACAAATATAGTTCTGATGATATTATCATTACACCCGCGTAGGGTTTATTTGTGATTAGTAGAGAAGTTTTTTTCTTTGTCACTAATTGACCTTGTCCTCACTTTCTTGGTGATTTGGTTGGTCGTTTGTTTCCTGCTAGTTTCAAGGTTTCCGCTGATTTTGGGGGTTCCAATGATTGGCTTGATTTTTTCTTTCAGTACTTTGGCCGTTTCTCCTACAGAGGAGGGTTTGGGTAAGTGTCGATGGGACACTTTTTATCTTAGATGCTTTTTGTTGATCTTTTTCAGCTTCAACTAGTTGACTTACCATGTAGTCTGCTTCGTCAACTACTAGTTTATTTTCTTTAATAAAAGATTTTCTGTTTGGGTTATGTCTCTGTATTTGTAGATTCCTTTTTAGGACTGCCTGTTCTTCTCTTCGTTTGACAGTAAGATCCTGTGAGATTGATATTTTGGTTCCCTTTAGTCTTTTTGCAGTTCACGAATATGCTCTTTTTGGTGATAATTGATACAAATTCAATTTTCACAGGACAGTTTCTTTTCGATCCCAAAACATATACAGTGTTGCCATTAAAAGGGAAACTTTTTTTTCGAAAATTTCAATGAAGTTTAACTTCGGCACTTGGTTGTGCTTTAAATTTAACTTGAAATGATGCGGCCAACTGCGACCCGCTGACGTTCAGCCAAATTCAACTTTTTTTTGAAAAAAACTGAAAAAGTGCATTTCTACATCGAATTTAACAAAAAGTTACTTGAAAAAGTTGTGTCTACGGCAATTTTATATCCATTTGCCAAATAAAGTTAACGTTTTGCTTATTTTTGGCAGATATCCCCTTTATTTTAAAAAACAAGTTCGGTTAGTTGTCATAAATTCATGTATACATAACAAACTTTTAACTTTTCTGATAAATTTTTACTCATACGGATTAGCACATTTTTAATTTCTTTCTAAAAATGTCCGTATAAGTAAAAATTTATCAGAAAAGTCAAACTCCATGATGAGTTTGTTATGTATACATGAATTGATGACAATTAACCGAACTTGTTTTTTAAAATAAAGGGGATATCTGCCAAAAATAAGCAAAACGTTAACTTTATCCTAGTTGCATAAAATTTGGCATATAGATATAAAATTGCCGTAGACACAACTTTTTCAAGTAACTTTTTGTTAAATTCGATGTAGAAATGCAGTTTTTCTTTTTTTTTTAAGTTAAATTTGACAAACACTGAACGTTAGTGGGTCGCAGTTGACCGCATCATTTTAAGTTAAATTTAAAGCACAAACAAGTGCCAAAGTTGAACTTCATTGAAACTTTTCGAAAAAAAAGTTTCCCATATGGTGCGCGCTTTAATGGTGACACTGCATGTCTGTAAGATCTACTCGAAGTAGTGACTTTTTCTGATCTTGAATAAGATCTAAAGTCATTTTGTGACGTTCTCTATCGAGTCCGAATATGACAATGTTATTTGATTCCCGCTGGTGCTCTAGTTTTTCGATTTTCTACTTCACTTGCATCGATAGCACTCTATAGTTCTGTTCTATTTTGCTGGATTTCGTCGATTATAAGTTTTGTATCAATGCTGGCGAAATTCATGCTCAAAATTGTATAGGTGTTTGGGCTCTTTTATTGTTTTATCAAGCGAGGAAAGATAAGGCAATTGTTTTAGATGTTTGATATGCGCAGCGCTAGATTTAAAATCCCTTTTCGGTCATGATTTTGGGTTGTATTTTGTTTATTTCCTTCAAATTGTAGTTGGGTGTGATAAAACGCTTTACTTTTGAGCCTACCTTGTTTGGGTCACTTTCTTTGTCACTTTTTCTCGAGATTTTAAATTAACTCTACTAAGCAAGAATTCAAGTGACTTAAGTTACCATACAAATTGAACGGCGCCATACACAATAATTTCTTTGTCACCCGGTATTGTGCCTAAATTTGTTGTGAAAGAAAAGTGGAAAAAATTGTTAGTTCTACCTTAGTTCAGTGAGTAATAATGAAAAACTCTTCGCGTCATTCTAATTATCCTTCAACTAAAAACATCACTTTCAAAAACTGAAATTATAATCCTTTCGAAATTTATGCATTTACTCGTGAAGAACATGAATATTGCAATCTAATATCATGCTAATAAATATGTGGTTAGTCATACAATATCAAATTATGACCAAACCGTGTAAGACTTTGGCAATAAAAAATAAATAAATGGGAGGTTCGAAACGAACAATTACCTGTGTCAAGAGAACTATCGTGACTACTGGAGTAAATCTGACTTTTGGACAACTTAAACAGTTTTTTGGGTGATTTTCTGTTCGTTCGTTCGTTTTATTTGTATTGCTTGATTTTCTATGCAGAGCAAAGACTAAGATTTATGATTGACTGTTTTACTGTAATCGCCAAGCCAGGACAGATCAAATGTAGCATTTTACAACACTTCTTCAAACATCGAAGTGTGAAAAACACAAAATACTGTCTAAACATGATTTATTATTGAGAAAATATTGTTGTGAATCATGTCCTAAAGAAAATGACGCCGGCCGCTACTGGTAGCTACTAACCAGACGTGACTTGGCTAAGAACGCGCTCAGTTCGACTGATATTTCGTTGTTATTCTACCGACTCCGATGGAATTCCAGGGAATTTTCCAGCGTCCTCGATTGTCAAATATAAGCGCCATGCACTGGCCCATCTAGACAGTCAAGTGGAAGTTACAGTGCGGTACAGAAAGCGATCTAGTGAGGCGATGATAGACATTCGAATGATAGTTGAAGTTTCAGTTGAAGTGTTCGTTGTGTTTAAAGTTTGATTTTATTGTTCAGTGTAGTCATTAATGGTCAAGCCACAGGGAATATCTTTCAAGATCTGTCACTTGAGACAAATTGAATCTTTGTTTAATTATTCATGGAATTTCTTTGTATGAACGAATTGAGTGAACCTCATTTTAGATTTCAGTACTCACCTCTACATTCAAATCTTTGATTATTTGCCCGGGATGTATATTCAGTACAAGTTCGTACTGATTATGTTCTCTTTCCAAAAGTTCCTCATATGTCAGAAGAAAAACTGCTTTCGCTTCAGGTTCAACGTTGACTGACACGGTGAATCTGTTGGAATCTCTTGCACTAACTTCAACATGCCCAGCGCTTTGACCACTGGCAACGGCCTGAAATCAACAGAATCAAATAATTCGAGTTGACATTTTTGAAACGTTTTGACGAAGTCAAAATGAAAAGTCAACTATCAACAAACAAACAAAATACAAAATAGATATAAAAACCAATACAGTATTTCTATGGAGGTATACAAGCTCTATAATGAAATTCCTAAGGACTCCTGAGAGCCGTGTTTGTACAAAATGACGTATAACGTTACAGTGAAAATGCTGTAAACTATCTTAGTGCGGCTGAGGCCCTCCATATCACTTGTTTGAGTATTGGGCGATCCTACGGATGTGTGCGTGAGGAACGCTTTTCGGAATGAAATGGGGTTGAACGTTATATCGTTCTTCTGCTACCAATGATGAAATCCAAAATATATGAAAACATTGGTGTCTGGTTGTTTTGAGAACAGATTTATCACTTAAACAAGTGTTGCACAACACAACCAATATAATGAAATCTGGAAAGCATATGAAACTTCGACTTTTATTCATCTTTGTAAAGTACAGCAAAAGATACAATATTTACAGGAGTGATGAATAAATCACAATACCACTGAGGAGTATACCCCTGTATGTGGTTGAAATAAAAAATACATAGGTAAAAAATACAAAATAGAATTAAACAAAAAATTTAAATTTACATACACAATAAGATTAGTTTCACGAACACATAATAAAAAATAATGTATAAATAATGTCATTGTATAAAACATTGCATAAAACATTTCTAAAATTAGGTATATACAGCAAGAAAATAACATATTGATTTGTAGAAAGAATCAGATGTGTTTTCTACAATGGCAATTTGATTTTCAATTACGAACATAGTTATATTTTGCAGTATCTGTAAACACAGACGGTCTTCCACGGCTCCTCTTTGCAGAGTTTTTTTTTTTCAGAAAAGAAGTGAAGCAGATACCAATATAAAACTTACCATGGTCAGTATTATTGAGTCTCAATGAGTTTATGTTTTCTATCAATTGTTCTTAGGAAATTTATAAGTTCTATTTTGAATTGTTTTAACACCGTTATTGTTTTCGAAATTCTGTTTAAAAAAATCTGTTTTTCCGTTAACCAGCTGTCGCACCCCTACGAACGACAACCCTCAGAAGTCGAAACTTGTGCGAGCTAAGGATTAACGAGGTCTTACCTTTTAACGTGTGATTCCTAACACGGAATGTCTTAGGAATGTGTAACGTGTGATTCCCGGAATGAAATTGTAAATTTTGGGAGCTAAGTAATGATAACCTTTTTGTCCTATTGCTTTATTCATTCGTGGAACGATGTACTTATTTTTTTGTCTTGTAGAATGGGAGTGAGTCGTCACATTCGTTTCGATTCCATTAATGTGATGTCTAATACATACTTGTTTGAGATAAAGCTGTCTAATATCTAGCATTTTTGTTTCTGAGTAGAGAGAGTCATTTGATGGAATACTCTCAGAGGACTACCACGAAAACTTACGACTGTATTTTTCAAGGACAAAACATGAGCACTACATAAACATCTTTGGGACGCTCTAAGTAGCGATTCACATTGGATTTGAATCGCTGGAGATTACCTCCATTGGTGAAAACGTTCTCAGGACGTTTATTCCACATAAATGCAGTTCTCTAATTGAAGGAGTTCTTGAACAGTGTAGTTCGAAGTGTACTGAGCTGAAACTCAAAACGATGAGCAGCCACAGTCCGTCGCGTATTTCTGATATGTAGCGATCTTGGTGGAATCAACTGTGCCAAGTCACACTTCCCAGACAAATCTCTCTGGAGATCCGATTGGAGAGCTTTTTTACCTCCCGAGTATTTCCACCCTAGGAGCGCCAGTATGCAAGTTTTCCTCATATTTCCACCATTGAAACCGAAAATAGCGGCACAGCAACGAAACATTAGCCCGTAAACTACTTCACGCTGCCTGAGCCGTTGCAATGGTGTTGTTATAAAAACACTAACATAGTAGTAAAATTCAGTCATAATGATCTTCTGAGGACGCTAACGTGGTTAGCGAAACACGCGTCGAGAGACCATAATTTTTGTTCTTGTGTTGGGAAAGTGTTTTCAATAGATTCATTCAACGTCAGAGGTTTCAGTAGGAACTATCATGTCTAGTGGATATCTCACAATTGAGTGTAATGTGAATGAGTTATAGATTTTCTTCAAGTATCGTCCATTTCCATCATACTCATTTTTAATGGAAACGCCCCCCTAAAATTTGAAGTTGTTAACCGATTTTATTAATTTTTTTTTCGAAATGTCAAGTACTAAAAGATCTACCTTGGGACAAAATTTGAAGTGTTTATTAAAGTTTTAGGACATACTACGATATTTTTTCTTAGTCGAAAATAGGGATTTTTAATTAGCGATTTTTTTATTAAAAAAATCATTACGCCACTAGATTCAGAGTGCCTCTAAACAGGTGTGACCAAAATTTCATGAAAAAATATTCATTATTAACAAAGTTATGACAACTCAAAAATTCGAAAACTCACACAGCTAACAGTTACAAAAAACACCCTATATCAACAGATATAGCCATGAGAATATTTTTTTCTGATGTCAACAATAAAGTGTCGCCAGATGAAAAAAAAAACAAATAGCGTTAATATTTTTAATGAAAATAACGGAATTACATTCAAGTTTTCACGCAAATTAACTAAAACTAAGACCTAATATTTCAATTTGAATCTTAGTTGCCATGGAAATGATATTACAGTTTGACACTTGTGAAAGATTTAAGTGTACTATTGTTAACAATATTCACCTTACAGTTCTTCGGATTATTTTGTGTAATGGATGCAAGATTGTGTTTTTATTTTCATCTGGCGGCACTTTATTGTTGAAATCATGAAAAAAATGATATATTGTGACTATTAGCTGTTTGAGTTTTCGAATTTTTGAGTTGTCATTTTGGTCACACCTATTTAGAGGCACTCTGAATCCAGTGGCGTAGTGATTTTTTCAATAAGAAAATCGCTAATAAAAAATCCCGATTTTCGACTAAGAAAAACTATCGTAGTATGCCCTGAAACTTTAATAAACATTTCAAATTTTTTCTCAAGGTAGACCTTTTAGTATTTGACATTTAAAAAAAATTATTAAAATCGATTCACAACTACAAATTTTAGGGTGTTCCATTAAAAATGGGTCACACTGTATATCTAGTTTATTTTGCTTTTAAATATATTTCAAAATTACAGTAAGAATCTTCCACTTTGTTTCCATTTTCAGTCATACATTTTTCCTGAGGCTGCTGAATCACACTGAAAGCAAATATATACTTCTCTGATTTTATGCTTCCATTCATTTTTTCATTGTTTTCTTGTAATGCAGTGAACTAGCAATACATGTTTGTCTAGATTAGCAATATATTGAACACCAGTCATTTTCCAATCATCGGCAGTGGCAGTACAGATTGCTCTGAATTCCATCAATCCTGTTTTTTGCTAACCCAAGAATTATTTTTTCAAACTTCAGAAATCGAACTATTATCATTAGCCCGATGAAAGTTTGTAACAGAATCCACTATGATATTCCTTGAGTTATAACTTCAAGAACATGTTGAAAACGCAATTTCATAAGAGTTATTCTGAAAAAATTCACTTTCATGTTTTCTGAAAAAAAAAAATCTTTCTTTGTGGTCTTTTTTCGAAAAATCATGACCCCAATTTTTTTATTCCTTTCAGGGCAGAATATAGCAATATGGGAATTATGTTTGGATATACATTTTCTTGAAAAAGTGTCTCTATTTGTATAAAAAACTGGAATTTTTCACTCGATTTCTCTGCAGTTTTGTAAGCTAGAGCATTAATTTTCAGTTGGCGCATTTATCTTTACCTCTCTTCACTGAACAGGATACTGGGTTCAACTTGATTTCATTTACAATTTTGCATTTGCACTTTTATAAGGTACTGAAATATCCTGGTAGACCGTATGTTGACATAATCATCACACATAACATTAGTAATTTTGGTACCCAATGAGGAGATTGTGCACAGAGTGGTAATATACACACGCTTCTGAAAAGAACAATGAAACAATTCCTGAAGAAAATCCTGCTCTTGTTGCTCCGTATCATGATCGTTTTATTTATGCGAATCTTAGTAGGGAGGGAGAGTGTAGGCGCACAGCACTTAGGCCACATGTGACCTATTGTACATCCTCCCGAAGAGTTGTCCTCCTAGGTCATCGTCCATCCTGTCCTATCCAGGAAGGTGGACAGGTCGCTGGGAGACATCTCCTTTATATCGGCAGGTGTAGGCCAAGACTCACCGAATACACACTCTCCCAACCGGCAAAGTTGTTTTATAATTCCATGGTGTTGCAACAGTTTTATTTTATTAGTATTTTATAATTACTTCCAAAATGCTAATTGATTATATTAGATGATCGGTGAACACAATACAGTTGTAGGCAATAAAAGTGTTTTATAAATTTGTCATAGAAACGTTTATGAATAAAGTGAATTGTTATGTAGCAGTTTTATAACACTTTTCTGCGAGATTTTTATGATATTCATAAAACTATTTCAAGCTTATTTTATAACTGTTTCCTGTAGGTTCAATGAAATTATTTCTCGAAGCGCGTTTCATCAACCACATCGACGTCTTCAGGAAATTATGTGGAGAGTGTTGCAGTTCTGGTGTTTCGATGAAGTACTTGGAATGGTGATTTGGATTCCGAACGAAGATTTTTCTCAAAATAAATATTGAATACAAAAATACTCGAAACATTTGGCAAAAATATGTAGTCGATTGTTGTTGGCTTCATTTTGTGTAACAAGAAGTTTCAATTTGAAATTCAGAAACCAACTATTTCGTTCGAACGTTGCCGTTGATGACGTACTATAAAATAATTGGCCTCAAAAATGGCCTACGTCTATACCTGCTGCTACAGTTAGGAATTTCAGTCGATCAACAGTAACTAATGATGTATTGTGCGAACATGTCCTTTAAACCTTCTCAGCCGTGACCCCAGTGGCACAACCAAATATGAGAAACAAGTTTTTATATATGTTGGTGAAAAAAATGATCAAAATTCATCTTGTAAATCTGAACACTTCAAAAAATGCTTCTCTTCCATGACAAGATTAGATCAGAGGTATTGTAATTGCTGTCGATATACGAGTAAACTACAGACTAATAATAGTCCAAGAGCCAGTGACGCATGTTTCATGAAGTGTTTGATGCACCCTGAAATTTTGTAAGGGTAGTATCTATGGAATAAGAAGTACGAATACCTGTGTTTGCCTGACCCTGCCCGGGACACCAGGTCCTGCGCATAATAGAAAGGTGTGAAAAAATATAAGCCAAAATAAGTGTTTGATTCACAGGCCAACAAACTTTAATCGAAAGATTAGTTAATTTTTAATTATAAATCAAGATGGCAGACACTTTGGAGAGGGTTTACGTATAATTAATTTCCCTCAAAGTTATTTTCTTTAACAAAATGAAATGTTTGATTCATTATGAAATTTTAACAGCTACTCAATCACATATTCAGAATATTAATTACAAAAAGCCAGACAGTTTTGTTGGGGTTCAATTCCTGGCAAACATGAAAATACATTTTATTTCAAATAGAAATAGTTGCGCGTAGTTGGCGGCGTGAGTGAGAGCACCGATCACCATAGTAGCAACACTCCCCTTCTAGGCTCTCATTGGTTATTAATCACGTAATTTTTAGTAGCTGTGCCGGCAGTACATCATGTGTTTTCAGTTGACCGTTGTTATTGTGAGCACGTGTTTAACAGTTTTTTTGTAAGTTTGTGAACAAAATGTCGAGTAAAAAAAATTAATTTGGCTACAAGAACGTTGCAGATATTAATTATGCGCGTTTTCAAACGTTTTGTTCAACCTATAAAAGTAAAAGCACAGATGAACCTTTTCAAAATACGTTGCTTAAATATGTTGCTTCGAATTTGCCACCATGTAAAGCTGAGTTCGGCGAAACGCTCATTTTTGCACTCCAACATATTTGTTGCCTGGATCCCACGGTTGGACAATAAAAGACGACCGATATGAATTCAAATGGAACACAAACTGTTCTGGATGTGATCAAAACTGGTTCAAATATCGGGCAAAATGTCAACAATGACGGTTTGTATTTCCTGATGATTTGAATTTTTCATTTTTCTAGGAATAACACTAATTATATTTATTTTTTTCAGACAACGATGAAAGTTCCCCTGATCCGGACATTTATTCGAGTGATGATTCTTCAGAAGAAGATGATTCTTCAGAGAACAGTATAAGTGGTCGATAAACGACGCATATGAATTTGTTGATCTTCTGTGATATTATTTTGAACCACACAGCATCAAAGTTTCGGGCTTCCAGCATTTCCTCTCGTTGACAGAAAAGATTGGTTTTGATAGCATTCCTTGAATAATTAGTTTAAATATTATGTTAAAAGGTTCATCTGTGATTCGATTATTCTCGAGAATAAGTTGATATATATTTATTTCCTCAGCTTCGAACTTATTCAGACATATGAAATGAAATATTACATTTCGAAAGACATATTGATTTGTATATGACATACTAAGTTTTCAACTAACTTACTAACTTCATTTTGGTTTATTCACTACCTACATAAATAGCGTCTGAAATCAATTCTAATTTTACTCACCCTATCATAATCTTGCTTCGCTTCTTCTTTCTCCTTTACATAGGCTTTGTAACTCTTTCCTCCAATCTCCATCACGAATTCTGAAATGAAAGCTTTCTCCGGTAGAACAACTGTAAAGGTTGCCTCTTTTGCTTTCGTATCCGGATTTCTAACTTTGCTAATCACTAGAGTTTTTGCGAATCGATTGGAAACATTTGATTTTATGTCCATGCCATAGATTATCGGTTGTTTAGAACCAGAAACATTTTCATCCTGAAATGAAAAAAATATGATATCATCGGGCAACTACTCCAAAAGGTTTCAGTAAATTCAATTGAAACAAAAACATTGATAGAACTATGATGCTAACAATTGGTTTCCCAATTTTGAGAAAATGTTCATACTATAATTTCGAAACAAAATAGGTATATGAAACTTTTCAAGTAGCACTTTATTTTGACACTAGACAGTTCACAGAACAAGCAACACGGGTTTCGCTTCATAAAGAGTTTCTGTATGAGAACTTCAATGAATTATGGATTTTTTTAGCATCACTCTCATCACGACATTAATTTCATGATAATTGGGTAATTGATTAAGGTAATGCTGCTCTTAGATCGATCCAAATTTTGCATGATTTGGTAGTCGACCTGATTGAGCAGATGAGTGTGTCTGTTTATGTGAAGAGATACCAACTTTCAACATCTTCTTTGAAAGACAATGTCTTGAAATTTAGACCACGTTCAAACCTAGACATTTATTCAAACCATATTTTTCCGAAAAAATTGAGGTCAGTCTATTTTCACGGTAACTTAACAAAAAACGAATATTTCACCTCGAAACCTACTAAAAAAGTAAAAAATGTTGAAGTATCAATTTAATCATGCCAACATACTTTTTTTTTGTCTTTGAAACCGTGGAACATGACATCGTTGCATCATCGTCTAGATCGGTAATGGGCTTCTTTTATGCTACTGAAAACGATACTGGTTCTCTTATAGACTGATCGAGTTAGGGATATATCATACTCATCAAGCCTGATCGGTCCCAAGATCTCTTTATATTTGCAGAAAAAAGAACAATTCGAGAAGCAAGAGTTTAAATTGGCCGCGTGTCTGTTGACCAATAAAATTCATGGTGTCTCCAGCAGTGTTGCCAAGTGTATTGGTTTTTAATATCCAATCATATAACTGAAATATAGTTATCCACTTTCACAGACGCCATTTTTGTTGTTATTCTTGTCAACTCGGTGTGAATACAATTGTTATAATCCAATTTGTTTGTTACAATTTTCTAATTGAAGAACGCTTCCTTTTATAAAAGGTAGGTTAGTCATTTCCAACCATGACTTTTTTTTTGTACATTTTAATTCATGTGAAGAATTTTTTCATCAACTTAAAAGTTAACGTGTTCGTATACACTTACTTCCATTCCTGTGATATCAACATGAAAATGTCTACTGCCGTAGATATTTTGAAAATAACGTTTTGCCAATTTGAAACCGGCGAATAAACTAAATCGATTTGATCATTTAAGAAACTTCTTTTCTTAGAAACCGATATCATCCTAGTCTTTGTAGACATATTATTATTGATGAAGAAGTAATTTCAATTGAGTACGTACCCGAAGAATATAAAAGTTAAGTAGATGTAGGAATAATATATGCCACTAAGACAGCGAAATAAGTCATGATATTTTTGGGAATGAAAAATGTGGAGATCAAATCGTTTTCGGTGTAATTTGAGAAAGTATTAAGTTCCTATGTTTATTCAAAAACGTTGGTGTAGTTTCCAATGACGGAAAGGAAAGTTTTGGTTTTACGCTTCTCCATCTTTATACAAAAAAATGTGGTAATCTTCCAAAGCAAGGAAGAAAACAAATGATTTCAAACTCAACTCTTCTCAATGCGATGTACTATTATTCTTATACTTGAAACACCCTGCCTTGATCTTCCTGAATTGAATCAATCTTTACTTCTGCTTGATGATTTCTACAATTCTCCATAGCTTTTTGAAAAGAAACGTACATTGTATTCCCTGAAATACAATTAAATGTTTTTTGATTGTTTAACCTTTCAAAAGTTTTTAGTATACTTCAGCAGATTCTCTATAAATTTAACTTTGTTTATTTTTCAAACGGTTAGGGAATGAAACATGTCAAAATTGATGATGTGAGTATTCTAAAGGTGAAATTATTCGGAAAAAGCATTATACAGTGTGTAACAACGAAAACTTAACAGAACCGTTTTTGAATATAAAAAGTGAGATTTTTAAAAAAAGCTCTGACATTTCGATTTCTAATTAAGGGGACACCTTTCAGACTAATCAGATTTTTTGTAGTACGCACCCCCTCGGAGGGGTGCGTCCGACGACCCTTATTTAGATAGAGAAAGTAGGTCGAGTGACACCTTGTTTTAAAAGCCTTTCGAATACCTTTACAACTCTGTTAAAAGAAAATTTTTGTAACGATTAGTTCCCGAGATAATTTTAAGTTAAAACTGCCATGTTAATAATACATTAGACAGACCACTCGGTAACTTGTATGCCTTAATGAAAAACTTTCGAGCACTTCTTCTTATTAGTTTTTTGTTAAATAAAATCCCTATTTTTAAATCAATACCCACTCCTCTTCTTCCAGTTTTCATTAGTACATCGTTCGATTGTTTTGTTTAAACGGGTCGTGTATTGTTATTTGTTTAAAAATGCCTTACACTACTGCTGAAACGGTTTCAGTTATTACTTTATTTTTTGGCAACAACCAAAATGCTAATAGAACATCAATTTTATTTAACGAGCAAAACCCTGGTAAACACCTAAGCAGAAATCACGTTCTGGATTTGGTCACAAAATTCAGGGAGACAGGTTCGGTTTTAAATAAGAAAAGAAATGTTCAGAGAAGGGCAGTGAATGACGATAATGCGATTGGAGTGATTGGTCAAGTCATCGCCAATCCCAGGTTAAGTACCAGAGGTTTATCAGCAATGGCCGGAATAATCCATATAAGCGCATGGAGAATCCTTAAAAACCACAAATTTCGTCCTTACAGAATTGAACTTGTTCATGAACTCAATGAGGATGATTTTGACCGAAGACAGGAGTTTTGTGAGGGCATGAGTAAGAGATTAATGCAAAATCCCGAGCTGCTTTATAACATCTGTTTTTCGGACGAAAGCTCATTTTATTTAAATGGTTGCGTGAACCGTCACAATTGCCGTTATTGGTCGGATGAAAATCCAAGACAATACGCAGAAATACATACCCAACATCCCCAAAAGTTGAATGTCTGGGCCGGAATATTAGGCAATCATATTATAGGTCCATTTTTCATTGATGGAAATTTAACCGGCGATTCTCATTTACAACTTCTTGAAAAGGCAATACAGCCTCGTATAGTTGAAATAATTGAACAGGAGCCAAGATGTCAAAAAGAATTTATCCATTTTTAACAAGACGGTGCACCACCTGCTGGGCAAGCAGGTTCGAAATTTTTTGAATAATCATTTTGAAGGACAATGGATTGGCAGAAGAGGTCCAATTGAATGGTCAGCACGATCACCAGATTTAACACCACTGGACTACTTTTTGTGGGGATATTTAAAGTCCAAAGTTTATGCTACACAGCCAGCCAATTTGAATGAATTACGTCGTAGAATTATTGATGAATGCCGAGCTATAACTCCTGAGATGTTGAATAACGTAAAAGCAAAATTCGAACAAAATCTTTATTGTTGTATGGAGCAAAATGGCGCACATTTTGAACATTTACTCTAAATTTCCTATGTGAGTTACCCTTATTAGGTGTTATTTTTTTTGTGTGTGCTATAAAAACAATTATTGAGATTCATTAACCCTAAAACAGTTTTTTAAACTTTTCTGTGTCATCAGCATTCAAGGAAATCAGCAGGTTGTATTCGTTGTGTAGGTAAGTTTTTAGTATGATTCACTTTTTTATCAGAAGCATAAAATATCCACGTCAAAAGGCAACCTTCATAAGGAGGTGCCACTCAATTTTCCTAAAATGTAAGGGTGGTAACCAACCCCATCCCCCGAAAAAATCTCCTCGTAATAAACAAATAATTCTTACTTTACGAAATCATATATACACGTAATTAGCAGGGTGTCATAAAAAGCAAAATTTTTTTTTTATAAAAGTTCTGAACGTAAATTGTACCTTAAAAACAATTTGATTTATTTTAAAAAGAGTTGAACTCAATAAAAATACCTTCAAATCTCGAGGAGCTCAAATTATCTCGAAAACTAATTGTTACAAAAATTTTCTTTCAACAGAGATGTGAAGGTATTCAAAAGACATTTAAAACAAGGTGCCACTCGACCTACTTTCCCTATCTAAATAAGGGTCGTCGGATGCACCCCTGCGAGGGGGTACGTACTACAAAAAATCTGATTAGTCTGAAAGGTGTCCCCCTTTAATTAGAAATCGACGTGTCCGACCTTTTTTTAAAAATTTCACTTTTTATATTCAAAAACGGCTCTGTTAAATTTTCGTTGTTACACACTGTATAATAAAAGTTTCATATGGAAAGATATCAAAATCTGTTGGAAGTATCTTCCTACCTGTTGGGTCATTGTTTGATACACTTTACTTTTTTAATGTTTTCTTTCTAAAGCAATAAATCACCATATCATTCAACCTACAAATAAATTCACCTCTTTTATTATTTTTCATCATAGAATTAGATAATAATCAAGGAATACGATTTTCTTTCATTAGTTCGATAATGATAGAATGAAAACCGTATACTCGATAATTGATTGTTTTCTGTTCAGACTGGATGCTTCAGTGGTAATTATTTTCAATCGGTTAATCGTATGGTGATAAAAATTGTTGTTTATTTTTTGTGTCTCATTAACAAACAGCGATTTCTCAGTTCAAAAGTAAATACCCGATGGGATAGCAAGAATTTAACATGACGTAATACCACTTGGCGCACTCATAAATAACCTGAAGATAAATGGCGTTGATGAAATCATAAACAAGGTCATGTATGAACAAAAAAAAAACTTCAACTGTTTCTTCAACTTTCAAATAATGTCTTATCTATTCTCATTGTTCAGATCAAGGAAGTAAAAATCTCAAAACAGCAATTAGTTATGTAAAGTTACTCCAACTCTCGATACCTATGAAATAGTAGATGATACTGAATATGAATATTAAGTTTCTTATTATGGAAACCATTATAAATTTGAAGAACAGATCCATGTACTTTTGAAAAAAATCCGGTAATAGGTCGATTGTTTCTTTCTGAATGCCGA